CAGAAATGCTAGTGCTCACCTCCTGTGGGTCACTTCAGAGGTGGCCGTGGTGATCTGGTGAAATGACTGGCCTGGAAGTGGTTTGTGGATGTCGGGAGCATCCGAAAGCTGCTCTTGGGCATCACCACCATCCCTGGCCCAAAGTGCAGGAGAAGGACAGTGGGGACCCACCCCCGACGTGCTCGAGGCCAGCTGCTCTTGGTTTGTGTTTCTCCTGTAAAAGGCGGTAGGGGACCTTGTGAAAGGCAAGGCTGGTCCTGGGACGCTCTCCCTTGGGGGTCACATCCTCCTGCTCACCCCCAGGCCCTTCTTCCAAAGCTGGAAAAGCTGAACAGTCCTTTCTGAGATGGCTGATAATGTCCTGAGGTCTTCTCCCTCGTGCTCCAAACTGTTTTCCCATCAACATGATGCTCTGAGAGCCCATTAGGAGGACTCTTCTGCAAGGATTTTGGAGTCACTGCAATCTCCTTGCAGGATAGGTGTTTTGAATTTTAGACTCTCAAAACACAGGATCATCATGGCTCCTGTGACAGAGTTTGTCCCTACCCTGAGACTGTAACACTCTGTATTACCATTTATGTGACCTAGGAGTATCATTTATTTTAAAGCATAATCTATACAGAACAAATGTTCCATTTAAAGTGTACAGTTCCATGAGTTTGGACAAACCTGTTCAACCATGCCACCACCACCATCACCGTTGTGATATAGCTTCCCATGTCCCTCTGCGTTCATCCCCTGTCCCTACTCTTGGCCCCAGACTGCTTTCTGTTATTATAAACCAGCTCTGCTTTTTCTAGAATGTCATAAAAGATTGTAAGTTAAAGGAACCTATTTGTGTCTGGCTTATTGGTGTTATAGGTTATGACATATGCTTAAACAAAATTCAGCTCCCGAGCCCACTCTCTGTCCGAGCCGTTTGTGGCTAGTCTGCAGTTTAGCATGCTGAATGGACTCTTGGCTAACAATAGTCCATGTGACCATGGTGGCTTAGGCATGTGGCATTTCTGCTCTTTGAGTCAGAAAGAAATGTTTCTCATTTAAAAATCTTGTTTATCTTTAGGCAGTTGTCAACCGCTAGTGAGTGGCTAAGGCTTGTGGGCAGGGGACCCTGTAGACCCTCTGTTCCTATCCCAAAGTTATTTGCACTTCACCCTATCGACACTTTTGTTGTTGATAAGCTGGAATGTAAACGGATCACAGTTCAATCAAATGGCATTTATTCAGTTTTGCAAATTATAAAAGTAACACATGCTTCTTGTAGAATGTTTGAGGAATAAAAGGAAAAATGTTAAAAACTCCATATTACCTCATGGGAAACATTAATTTTTTTGTACATTGACTTCCATTTTTTTCTGAACATTTTTTACATAAAGATACTATATGGAAAATGTATCTTTTAAAATATTTTATTCATGGCATTTCTCTGTCATTGAGAATTTCATAAACATAATTTTAAATGGGCATTTATTTACCTAATATAAAGGTATCATATGTAGAGATGTGTTTTATATATTTGTGTGCATATGTAGTTTAATAATTTAACAAATGAGATTTAGAAAGCACTAGGGAATCTTCCCTCTGGAAGGGACTATGTGCTTCCTGATTTCCTTCGGTGTGTATGGATGATGTTCAGAGCAGAACACAGCTCTACCTATTTGATGGCAGGAAGCACAAATCTGCTGCTAAACCAGACATGAGTGATGGAGGGTTCTTCCTGGCCCTCTTTTCTCAGCACCTTAAGCTTGCCTACACTGTTTTCTGCCATGCATGTGTGTCAATCTAGCTTTGCTGAGACTACCGGTGGGTTTCCATCTGTCACAGCTCAAACGGACAGAAGTGATTGGATTAGGAGACTAGAGAGGTTCTTCCAGAGTTACTTTGCTGCCTTACAGCAACAGATGAAGAATGTGGGCACACACCCTCTGTTATACACATCCTCAGAGATGAGGTTGGTCTTCCCATCAGAATTTTCCTTCGGATTGTCCTTTTCTGTTCATCTGGATCAATCGATGATCCCTGAGGACGTCAGGTGGAAGGTTTCTCTGGGTTGTGTGTTGCTGCAGGACTGATTCTGGAAATGGGAAGTCAAGAAGGAAAGCAATTGGCAGGAGTAATTCAGAATGGCTTTGAGAAACAAGTGGAGGGGATTGATTAGGTTCTAGAGACGAGAGGTGGCGTGCATTGCTTCAGTGACTGTGAACTTTAATGGTTAGGTTTTCTGCCTAATGCGCAGTAGCATTGTCTTCTATATTAGGATGCAAAATACCCAGGCAAGGGCTAGTCTCTCAGCTTTTGCATCCCCCAGAGCAGGTAGCTAAGAACAGGACCCATTCATTAAGCTCCATCTCTTCTGTGACCCTCTCTCCAGACAGAATTTTTATCCTGGATGTCCATGTGGTGTTCCTTATAAGAAGTCCTGCATCTTAGTTTGAGCTGCTATAACAAAATACCATTCACTGGGTGGTTTAAAGAACATTCATTTCTCACAGTTCTAGAGGCTAGGATGTTTAGGATCAAGGCTCCCCCTGATTTGGTTCCTAGTGAGGACTCTTTCTGGCTTATGACTCCATTGAACCTTACTTTCTTACTCCAAATACAGCCCCATTGGGAGTAAGCACTTCAATCTCTGAAGTGCTTTTGAGGAGACACAATTTAGTCGATTGCATCCTGGAACACATTGTGTTGTAAACAAATGTCAGTTTTCTAACTGAGGCACTGGCACTGTATAACTAAGGATGGAATGAAGGAGATGGGTTCCAGGAGGTCGATCAGGCCTGAATTTGGGACCAACTTGGCATACAGGGGATGAGGGAGAGACAGAAGCAATTAGGATAATTTCCAGATTCTGGTTTGGAATTGAGCAGTTCTTTTGCTGGGATGGGGAGTGCACTGGAAGATGTGCTTGCTAGGATTCTTTGGTAGCAAGTAAAAAATCAGAATTAGGTTAGGCAAAGGGGAATTTGTAAGTTTAGGGGGAAGTTCTGACTCATGGTACTTGGGACAGGATTGTAGATGGGATCAGAAATGAACTTGAACAGTGATACAAGTACCATCAAGACTTCTCTCTGCTCCTCTCTTTGTGTTTCTTTATTTTTTCACTGAAGACCAGTATCTTCTGCGTCTCCTTTCTTTTGGTGAAAATATTACTAATAGTAGTTGCAGATTTTATTCCTCATCTGCAGTCCTCTCAAAGACCAATTCTCTCAATTCCACATTCCCAGGAAAGGGCTTGGATGGCTGCAGCTTGTCAGTTGCCCATCCTGGTGTACAGCTGTGGCCACAGCCCAGTTTTCATGCCCTTCTACTTTCATGACCACTTGGCTGCAGCCACATGGTGGATTGAGGGGTGACTTTTAGAAAAGGAGTTCTGGGCCGATGTCCCGTCTCAGTAAAGATGATGCTTTTGGTTTTGTTTGTCTTCATCTCGTGCCTTTCAAAAACTGTACGGTGCATATAATTTATAGTGAAGTTCAGAGTTTAAATGGTTTGATGTTTTGGCACAAAAATACCCACACCCCAACCAAGATCTAGAATAGTTCTGTTATTCCAGAAAGTTTCCTCCCGACTCCTAGTCTTCCCTCTTCAAAGGCAACCACAGTTCTGATTTTTACAGTTTCGCCTGTTGTAAAATTTCATATACATGGAATTAAACAACAGGTACTCTGTCTGCCTTTTTCATTCTATACAATGTATCTGATTCAACCATGGTGCTGCTTTATGTAAAGTCCATTTTTTGTGTGTGTGCTGTGAACACTGTATGTATCACATTTGATTATATTTGTTCACCTGTTGAGGGACATATGGGTTATTTGCTGTTTGAGAAATTATTGACCTCTTTTAAACAAGTCTTTTGCAGGTTAGTGAGTAATTTACAGCATTAAATGCTGAGATTAGAAAAGGCAAGTTCAGTTTTGAATAAGCTGAGCCTGAGATTCTTGTAGTGAGGTCTGGGATCCAGATGGAATACGGTCTGCAGTGCAGGAAAGGGTCATCGTCTTGCAATTTAGATTTCTTTAATCTCTAACCTTTATATTGAGTTGAAGTCATGGGAAAGTCTTCAGGCAGAACATGAAGGGCGAGGCAAGAAAACGCTAGTATACTAAATCCTGAGGGATATCCATAGTGGAAGAGGAACTTGCCATTTATCTTTGTGTCTCAGTTACTAGGGACAGGACCTAACACATGGTCATTTCTCGGATGTGCTAAATTTAACAGAAGGGGTGCGGAGTACATGGTCATTGATAGACTCCATAATCTGTCTCCTTATCCTACCCAGAAATGCATTGGGAGGACAAATCCCATAGGAATCTCCAAGGCCAGAATGAATGTGGTAGATAGCAGCGTTGGGGAAGGGAATACCCAAGGAATCCCACCTTTGCTTCCATGAGGATGGGGAGGACAAGTCGGTAAAAATGAATAGTGGGGTAAGGTCAGACTACTCAGGGCTTCAAGTGGGGTCAGACTGAAGACTCTGGCCTGCACCAGGCCAGCTATGCCCAGGAGCCATATCGGTTTCTGGAGCTGGGCGTGACCCTTGAGATTTTCCCCGGGGAACTGTATTCCCTAGGCAGCGGGCGGGGGATGGGCTGCCGCTTCTGCTGTTGCGGCTGATGACGATGCTGGATGTTGTGCCCTTCCACTGGGCTTTGTCACAATAGCTGCTTGAAAAGGAACTGAGCTGCCGGCTGAGGATTTCGGGCCATTCCCGACCAGTGCTGAAAGTTCGCCTCTTGGCCGTGGCTGGGGGTGGAGTGGGGGCAGCGGTGGTGGCATCTGGCCGCAGCTGGGCGGCAGTGCTGGCGCGCACTGGGAGCAGAGGGGCGGGGCGGGGCCGTCTCCGAGTCGGGCCACGCCCCTTTCGCCTGCGCAGGCGCGCTGCGGGGCCGTTAGCTGTCAGGAACCGGCCGGCGGGCAACGGGACCCCGCGTCTGCGCCAGCATCCGCCGTCCGATCCCAGCGCAGCAACATCGGCGAGGGCGCTGTGCCTCGGCTCCAGGCCAGGTCTCAGAGGCAAGCAGGGACCAGAGGGCAGCTGGGCGCGCCAGCAAGATGGGGAACCGGGAGATGGAGGAGCTGATCCCGCTGGTGAACCGACTGCAGGACGCCTTCTCGGCGCTGGGACAGAGCTGCCTGCTGGAGCTGCCGCAGATCGCCGTGGTGGGCGGCCAGAGCGCAGGCAAGAGCTCGGTGCTCGAGAACTTCGTGGGCAGGTGAGCGCGCAGGGCGCTGGGTGGGGGCACGGCCGGGGCGACCCCGCTCGAGGCGGTGGGAACACCGACGGGCAGCGGGAGCCACAGGGTGGACCAGGGGCTGTGGCGGAATAGGGGACCGAACCTTGCTGTCGGTGGGGCGGGTGGGGTTCCCTGGCTCCGGGCATCCTCCGTCCCCGCCCCCTGCGTGGTGGCCCCGTCTGCCTTTCATCCTGCCATACAAAGCTGTTTCCTCCCCGTCCTCGCGCTGGGAGTCGGGCCGGGGTCCGCCCCTGGATCGACTCCCCCTGCGTGGCGCCCAGCCCCGGGCGCAGCCTGGATGCAGAGTGCTCCCGGCGCTTCGCGGGCTCCGCGTCCTCCTCCTCTCCCTGCCACCCTCTCGGAAGCGCTCTGAGGCTTCAGAAGCCTCCCACCCCGAGATGCTTTGGCTCTCCCCCTGGTTCTCCTGTCCTCTCGGCTGTCCACAGTTGGAGAGAACGTCGCCTGTCCCTAGCTGGGAAGGCGGGGTGCGAGGAGAAAGAAATCCTTCCCTGGGTTGAAGCTTTATCCGGAGACAGACGCTTCCCCACCATTCCCCTCCCTGGGAGTCAAAGAATAAAAGGTGGTGTGCTTGCGTGTGCACCTATTCAGGGCTCCAGGCTGAGACTCTGCTGGGGGCGGAGGCAACAACAACTCGTGTTGTCCAGGTGCCATGTCATGCCTGCATCATCTCAGAACTGACCAGCATCTTTCTCGCACTCTCTGTGCCCCCTCCCCCAGCATCGTCGTCCGTTCCTTAAGCTCTGATTTGTCCTGCCAGTCTTCAGGATAACATTCGGAATCCTAATTGTTATGCTTTTCGTGACTCTTAATACAGAAAAAGCGAAATAATTTTTGAATCCAGAATCAATATTTCTTCCGCTGAGCAATTCATGAGGGATTGAGTTACCTTAATGGCCTGGCCTGAGGAGTGCAGACATTTGCTTAGAAAAGCCCATTGGGGTCCTTGGGAGAGCTGAAATCTGTTTTCTAGTAGTAATCAGGTAGCAATGTATGTAACACAAAAGAGTGGGCTGGAGAGGGACAATCCAGAGGTTGGACTTTATTCTGCTTATTTGGCTCCTGAGTGACTTGCAACTCAGAAGGTTCCTGTTGGTCGATGTTTATTTATTTTTTGTTAGTGCTTGATGMTGTGTAAAATGAAGATCTGGTCATTACCACATCTCCTTTGGGGTGTTAGTATTCATGAAGTGCACGTTCTTTTCTCTCAGGTGATGCTCCCTCTCTCAGATGATGCTCTTCATTTTTTTTTTCTTTTTATGTGAACTAGAAAGATAAGAAACCCAACAGAAAAGTAAATTTGCTGACAATTGGCTGCTATCCTTGTGTATCAACCTAATCACTTTGCCACGATTTTAGAATTTATTTTGATTAATGAGAGAAGTGGTAAAGCATTATTGCCTACGTCATTTTAGATTTTTGGTGAAGCCGTGGAGTCGTTCAATTATACTTGTTTCTTGAACCAATACTTTAAAGACTAAAATTATGTCAAATTCAATTACCACATTTATATGCATCTTTCATATATTTACTAGGATGAGCATGTATTATAAGTGCATTGTTTGTGGCCAGAGCTTTTGAACTTTAAATTTTATGCACATATCTCAATTCTACTGTCTAGGTTTGCMGATCCCAATGTCTTAATGCCATGATAAAATTGTGCACATTTCCCCACACTAGCTGTATTCTTTTATATCAAGAATTTAAAGATACAGAAGAGTGAAATATCTAAGTTTAAAATATTTTTCATGATAAAATGAAAAATAGGGACATCATAAATATTTAACAAATCAGAGCACTTATCAGAATGCAATAGTAATTTGTTGTATTTTTAAGTTTAACCAATAATTACTGTTAAAATGATAAAAATAAAAGGTTGAATGCAGAGGAAAAAGCTCATTTAACAAATACATAAAATCTTTATTATATGTAGAGGTGGCACCTGCCTAACAGAGCTTATAGACTAAAAAGAAAACTAAATTAGAAAGGTCATTTGACTTTAAAAAAGATTTCGGTCATTGAATTATTGAGGAATCTAGTTTCTAATTATAACCCAACCTTAGGGAAAAATGAAGTTCTCCATTTCAATAAGAAATTCAGCCTAGACAGAATAGTATTCAGATTCCATTGTAACCATCATTTTTTTATTATTAAGAAATTTTGCAATTAATATAAGATCCTTAACTTTAAAAAATTCAACTTCTCTTTTTTAGATGTAACTTCTCATTTTAAGATCCTGACCAAATGTATAGTTATTAAATATAGTCATAATCCAGGGTCATCCCTTGTACAAATTGTTTTGCTCAAGATTTCAGCTTGTTTTCTTCAAAATAATGATGTATCGTCTCAATATCTAACAATTTACATTTAGTGGACTAACCATATCTTTTCCTCTCTGTTTATACTAATTTTTTTGGATACAATGGAATGAATTTGGATGTGAATGTGTTTATTTCACTGTAGCTGTAAAAAACTGATTTTTGGGTGGCAAGTTTGAGACTGTTATGAATAAAATGAGTCATGAATGAACTGCTTGTTTGTGATTTCTTGCTGAAGTGATGAATTTACATATTAATGTGATATAGTGTGAGTAACCAGATTGTTCTTTGGGTTGTGCAGGATGAGCTATATGCTGGCAGTGAGAAGCAGCTTAAGGTCTAATGAAAGAAGCTGAGCCCCATGGTTTGAATGTAGGGGTTCGCTAGTTGACAGCCCATTGTCTGGTTAGTGTCTGGAAGAGCTGAGTTAATTCAACTGCTTTCTTAATACCCCTGTGTACCGCACATACACACATGCATATATTTGTAGGGCCATGATGATAACGAGGACTAACCTTTATAGAGTGTTTGCTACAGACAGGGGCTGTTCTGAATCCTTTTACATGGATGATCTCACTTAACCCTCATAAAACTACAGAGATGTAGTTACTCCTACAGTTGCATTTTACTGAAAAGAAAATGAAATTGTAGGGAGTTTGAGAACTTAGTCATGGTTAACACAGAGAAGAGTGGGTTGAGAATTCACGTGAGGGGCTGAGCTCCTGGATCCACTCTTTCTTGCTGCCTGTATAAAACGGACACTGCTCTAGTCATAATTCTGTTTGTATTTGTTTATGTATGTCCACCTTGCCTCATTTTGCAGAAGATTTGAAGTGGCCCTTCAGGCAGAATCACTAAAGATGAGTATTTTTCTTGACTCCATTAGATGTTCGTGAAGAGAGTTTTATAATGTGATTGGACTGTTTATTTAGCTATCTGTTTATAGCTCACATAACTTCTTGATAGAAGGGCTAAGTGGAAACTGAACCAGTTGCTAATGTGAAAAAAGTTGTAATGATATATTTTCTAGAAACATTAGTTCTTCAATGATCACATAGGTAGAAGTTTCCACATTATTCTAGCCTGATTGGCAAGTAAACTTTCAATTCTGCACAAACTGATATGGCTTTAAGGTTAATGGGGACCAAATGAAAGATTTTTAAACAAGGATTATACCGATGGGAAGTTTTCAATGTGCAGATGTTCAAATACATGTCCATTATCAAATTAAGGTTGTTTAGAGGAAGAACCTTAAAGTGAGCCATTTGATGCTGCTGCTGCTCATGCTCAGATAATTTTTGAAAATCTGCAAGTCATGTATAGTCTTAAATCCTTTGGTTTCAAGAAAGTATTTAAAAATTGAGTAGGTAAGAGTCCTCTAATTGCAAATGAAATTAGGCACAGAAATATTCCAGCAGTGAAACTTCTTATTTCAGAAATAGGTTTGTACTGAGAAGGATTTTGTTAAACTATAAAAACATCTAAAATTAGTGAATTTTTTCAATATATAGTTTCCAAGTGTTATTACTTTAATGGATGCTAACAATTAAAGTATGATAATTGGGCTGGGGATGTGGCTCAAGCGGTAGCTCGATTGCCTGGCATGCGTGCGGCCCGGGTTCGATCCTCAGCACCACATACCAACAAAGATGTTGTGTCCACCGAGAACTAAAAAATAAATATTAAAAAAAGTATGATAATTATTGAAAATCATGCTTTGTAATTCCCAAGGGTCTATTGAATGAAGTATCAAAAACACAAACTATTCTTCACCCAACAATGAATTGGCAGAACATGAAACTAGGAAGATATTTCTGTGGAATAAACATTATATAATTTATTTTTAGGTTATCACAAATTCACAGTTGGTAGAATTTAATTAGCATAATTGGCTTAATTATTTTTTCAATGTCTGTAAAGCAGTACAACTAGGTGAACTGCATTGGATAGGATATCTCTGTTTTGGAATTTACTTCTGATTAATATAAAAAAATCCACTTGACTTCTTTAAGAATGAACTTGAGCAAGCAGCTTTACAGAACCTCAGAAATGGAACTTGTTATCTGTTATCACGTAGGTTACTGAATTCTCTGTTAATGGAACATATATTGTGTGTGTGTGTGCATGTGCATGCATGCATGTGCATATATTCCTGTTTTCCATTACTATAACAAAATACTGGAGGCTGAGTATTTTATTTAGCTCACAGTTTTAGAGACCACATTTTCAAGCAACATTCTATAGTTGGTGAGAGCCTCATGGCAGATAGCATCATGGTGGCAGCAAGTGAGGGAGAGATTACACGACAAGACAGGAAGCCAGAGAGAGAAGGGGCACCAGCCTTGTTCTTCTTTTCAGAACACTCCAGAGAAGTAACTAAGGTCCCATGAGAAAGATATCAATTCCTTTTAGGGGCAGAGCCCCAGATGACCCTAACCAGCTCCTCCTAGGTCCCACCGCCTCTTAGCATTGCCACACTGAGGACCCAGCTTCCAGGACATGAGCCTCAAGGCACAAACCACACCAGTCTGTAGCAGTATGTTGGTGTTTGTCTTCCTTTCCTTCCTTTTGCCAGGGCTAATAAGTAGAGTTAAATTATGAGGTTTTACTTAAAACTGATTAAGATCATAATTGTAAGAGGAC